GACGTTGGACAGCATTGGCGATGCAGAGGATGCTACGATGATAGTTATCATCACTGTCAGGACTGTGATGATAACTATCATCGCTCGGCATCACCAGTGCCAGCAAATAAGAGATGATGATGACCATGATGATAATGATGATAATGGTGAGGGCTGTGATGATAACCATCATCGTAGCATCCTCTGCATTGCCAATGCTGTCTAACGTTACTTTTGAAATGCATATAAGAAGAAGAAAGAGATGATGATGACCATCATGATGATGATGAGAAGAGTGGTCATCATCATCATCATCGCTCTTCTCATCATCATCATGATGATCATCATCATCTCTTTCTTGTTCTTATTTACATTTCAAAAGGGACGTTGGACAGCATTGGCAATGCAGAGGATGCTACGATGATAGTTATCGTCATCATCATCATCACTATTCTCATCATCATCACTATTCTCATCATCATCATGATGGTCATCATCATCTCTTTCTTGTTCTTTTTTGCAATTCAACAGTAACGATGATTACTCTTATGATAACTATCATCGCAGCATCCCCTGCATTACCAAAGCTGCGGATGACTGTCATGAAAACTATCATCGTAGCATCCTCTGCATTACCAAGGGTGCCTAACGCCACATTTGAAATGTATATAAGAAAGAGATGATGATGACAATCATGATGACGATGATGACGGTGATGACTATGATGATTCTGGGCTGATAGTTATCATGAGAGTCATCATCCTGATCATCACCCTTATCATCATCATCATGATGGTCATCATCCTCTACAGTACCAAAGCTGCCCATGACTGTCATCATAACTATCGTCGTAGCACCCTCTGCATTACCAATGCTGCAGAATCAGAGATCATGATGATCATACGGATAATGATGATAAGGATGACGACTGTCATGATAAGTATTGATGATGATGCTGATGAGGATGAATCTTCGGTTATGCTCATGCGCCAGCCTCCCTTCCCGTGCGCCTTTAGCGAGGGGTCGGCGGATATATATAGCAATGTACACATACCGAGCCTATCGTTTGCACAAACAAGAACATAAACTAAAAGTGCTGAATTGATTGAACGTCGGTATGTGCCCTTCCCATCAACTCTAGAAACAACGCTGTGACCATGAATGGAACTACGGCACAGGTCAGCACCGGCCGGCAAACACCTGGAAACCATCCAAACGGTCATCTCATGTTTCACACTTACGCGTTGCACAAGGGACTTGAATGTCCATGGAATCATCACATGGGCTCAGCGGGCTGCCATTGCAAGCCCAGGACACGCACTCATCGACACGTTGAGCCCTGCTGCTGGGCATGGCGCACAGAGAGTGAGCTGATCGTTGATTTCGCCCTGTGCCGTTCAAACGACTCGAATTCACCATGCAGACGTGCAAATTGTGTTGCCTCGCATTTCTGTATTCGTGAGTTCAGAGATTTGTTGCGGGCCTGTTCATGGCTCGGTCTGAGAAACCAGATTCCTGTATCTCAACACACGCACTTATTAGGCTGTTGGTCACCGAAGACGCATGTGAGGCAAGACCTGGCAGTGGAAGTAGGCCGCGCCCAGAGCAGGCTGGTTAGAGCTCAACGCGAGAGGTTCTGGCGGTGTTTGAGCTCACCGGAATGCGGAGCCAGGTTGGCCCACGCGATGAATGCCCTTTGAGTTCTTTCTCTGCTTCCGGCTTGGATGTGTCGCCAGAGAGACTACCTTGGAAGTTGTCACGGGAGGCCAGCCTTGCATTCCTTTGCAGAGGCGCGATTTTGTCCGGGTGGCAGTTGGGATAGGCGTGAAGGGCAAAGGCGACACCTTGGGTGGCAGGTTTGACCAACCACCACATGGATTCTAGACGGATGCGACATCCAAGACTTCAATCACGGCGACAGCGAGTGAAGCCAGGACTGCGTGACGTTTGAGTTCCAGGTCCTACCTGCCGCGCGGGGCCGAGTGCACAACTGGTGTCGGATCCAAAACCGCTGCGCGACAGCACTCAGGTGGAACTTTCCCATGTGGATTTGACAACCCAGTCTTGGTTCTATTTGTTGGCATTGTAGTGATCAGCACGAGGAACATAGAGTGAATTCCTTTGATGTAATCCAAAGATTACCTTTCTTGCATGCGTGTTTTTTTGCTTTGCCTTTTTGGTTGTGCGTGTAGGCTGCCCATGGCACTGCTTTGTTCGGGCGCCAAAGAGACTCTTGGCCCAGGATCCCCATGACGTCAGCCCCGTGCTGGAGGTGGCCGTGGAGAACAGGGTTCGTCGAGAGTGACCAAAGTGAATCGACCAGATCTGAGCAATGTTGCACCTGGTTTAATATCGGTAGTCTGAATTATGTCAAGTTTCCCCGGCTTAAACACGACCCCCCCACTGTTTCGGTACCATGGTTTATGTCAAATTCAGTGAGACCCCAAAAACTATCGGTCCAAACAATCTGAGCAAGATGCGCAACATGGGCAACTGATTTCTCCTCTCAGCTTCCTGGCTCAGTCCCAGCAGTGAAAACTCCGCAACATCTAAAAGCTTAGCAAGACCGGAGTTGAGTCTGAAAATTCCGGGTTTAATCCTAAGCCCCAACCATCAAAATCCTTTACTTAAATCCATCAAGAAACACTCCCAAAACAGTCCGGCAAAGGGGGTTGCCCACAAGGGGCCCTGATCATCTTTAAGGGGCACTGTTTGGGTACCATGTTTAATGTCCATCAAGTCTTCGGGTAGGAATCCCCAGGTCAGATCTTAGCCTCTTGCTTTTAAAACGGGCTCCAAATCTAAAGGCTTAGCAAGGGACCAGGCCAAGACCGGAGTTGAGTCTGAAAATTCCGGGTTTGATCCAAAGCCCCAACCATCAAAATCCTTTACTTAAATCCATCAAGAAACACTCCCAAAACAGTCCGGCAAAGGGGGTTGCCCACAAGGGGCCCTGATCATCTTTAAGGGGCACCGTTTGGGTTCCATGTCCATCAAGTCTTCGGGTAGGAATCTTCAGGTCAGATCTTGGCCTCTTGCTTTCAAAAGAGGCTCCAAATCTAAAAGCTTAGCAAGGGACCAGGCCAAGACCGGAGTTGAGTCTGAAAATTCCTGGTTTAATCCTATCAAAATCCTTTACTTAAATAAACACTCCCAAAACAGTCCTGCAAAGAGGGGTTGCCCACAAGGGGCCCTGATCATCTTTAAGGGGCACCGTTTGGGTACCATGTTTAATGTCCATCAAGTCTTCGGGTAGGAATCCCCAGGTCAGATCTTGGCCTCTTGCTTGTACAAGGGGCTCCAAATCTAAAAGCTCAGCAAGGGACCAGGCCAAGACCGGAGTCTGAAAATTCCTGGTTTAATCCTATCAAAATCCTTTACTTAAATAAACACTCCCAAAACAGTCCTGCAAAGGGGGGTTGCCCACAAGGGGCCCTGATCATCTTTAAGGGGCACCGTTTGGGTACCATGTTTAATGTCCATCAAGTGTTCCGGTAGGAATCCCCAGAGCCTCCTGCTTTGAAAAGGGGCTCCGAATCTAACAGCTTAGCAAGGGTCCAGGCCAAGACCGTTGAGTCTAAAAAAATCCTGGTTTAATCCTAAGCCCCAACCATCAAGACCCTTTACTTAAACCCAGCAAGAAACACTCCCAAAACAGTCCTGCAAAGGGGGTTGCCCACAAACAGCCTTGATCATCTTTAAGGGGCACTGTTTGGGTACCATGTTTAATGTCCATCAAGTCTTCGGGTAGGAATCCCCAGGTCAGATCTTAGCCTATTGCTTTTAAAAAGGGGTTCCAAATCTAAAAGCTTAGCAAGGGACGAGGCCAAGACTGGAGTTGAGTCTGAATATTCCTGGTTTCCAACCATCAAAATCCTTTACTTAAATCCATCAAGAAACACTCCAAAACAGTCCTGCAAACGGGGGTTGCCCACAAGGGGCCCTGATCATCTTTAAGGGGCCCCGTTTGGGTACCATGTTTAGTGGAATCCCCAGGTCAGATCTTAGCCTCTTGCTTTTAAAAGGGGCTCCAAATCTAAAAGCTTAGCAAGACCGGAGTTGAGTCTGAAACCCTAAGCCCCAACCATCCAAATCCTTTACTTAAATCCAACAAGAAACGCTCCCAAAACAGTCCTGCAAAGGGGGTTGCCCACAAGGGGCCTTGAGCATATTTAAGGGGCACTGTTTGGGTACCATGGTTAATGTCCATCAAGTCTTCGGGTAGGAATCCCCAGGTCAGATCTTAGCCTGTTGCTTCTAAAAAACGGGGTTCCAAATCTAAAAGCTCAGCAAGGGACGAGGCCAAGACTGGAGTTGAGTCTGAATATTCCTGGTTTCCATCCATCAAAATCCCTTACTTAAATCCGTCAAGAAACACTCCAAAACAGTCCTGCAAACGGGAGTTGCCCAAAAGGGGCCCTGATCATCTTTAAGGGGCACCGTTTGGGCACCATGTTTAGTGGAATCCCCAGGTCAGATCTTAGCCTCTTGCTTTTAAAGGGGCTCCAAATCTAAAAGCTTAGCAAGACCGGAGTTGAGTCTGAAAAATCCTGGTTTAACCCATCCTGTACTTAAATCCATCAAGAAGCACTCCCAAGACAGTCCTGCAAAGGGGGTTGCCCACAAGGGGCCCTGATCATCTTTAAGGAAGACCGGAGTTGAGTCTGAAATTTCCTGGTTTAATCCTAAGCCCCAACCATCAAAATCCTTTACTTAAATCCATCAAGAAACACTCCCAAAACAGGGGTTGCGGGTACCATGTTTAATGTCCATCAAGTCTTCGGGTAGCAATCCCCAGGTCAAATCTTAGCCTCTTGCTTTTAAAAGGGGCTCCAAATCTAAAAGCTGAGCAAGGGACCAGGCCAAGACCGGAGTTGAGTCTGAAAATTCCTGGTTTAATCCCAAGCCCCAACCATCAAAATCCATTACTTAAACCCATCAAGAAACACTCCCAAAACAGTCCTGCAAAGGGGGTTGCCCCTGATCATCTTTAAGGGGCACCGTTTGGGTACCATGTTTAGTGGAATCCCCAGGTCAGATCTTAGCCTCTTGCTTGTACAAGGGGCTCCAAATCTAGAAGCTCAGCAAGGGACCAGGCCAAGACCGGAGTTGAGTCTGAAAATTCCTGGTTTAATCTCAAGTCCCAACCATCAAAATCCTTGACTTGAATCCATCAACAAACACTCCCAATTTTTTTTGCGAAGGGGGTTGCCTACAAGGGGCCCTGATCATCTTTAAGGGGCACTGTTTGGGTACCATGTTTAACGTCCATCAAGTCTTCGGGTAGGAATCCCCAGGTCAGATCTTGGCCTCTTGCTTTACTTAAATGAATCAAGAAACACTCCCAAAACAGTCCTGCAAAGGGGGTTGCCCACAAGGGGCCCTGATCATCTTTAAGGGGCACTGTTTGGGTACCATGTTTAATGTCCATCAAGTCTTCGGGTAGGAATCCAGGTCAGATCTTAGCCTCTTGCTTGTAAAACGGGCTCCAAATAGAAAAGCAGATTCGCTGACCAAACATGGAGCCAAGGCAGGCGAGCTCATCAAGGCCGTCCTGACGGGCAACCTCTTGAATGTTGACGCACATCCACCCTTCCGTACCATGTTGCAGAGCAAGGCATTCTTGGCGGAGTGGCTCGCACACAATACAAGACACGGACCCGACATCATTGCATTTGCAGGAGTCGGTATGGCAGAATCCATGATTGCTTACCGGGGAACCTGGGCATGATCAACATGTCCACGAATTCCGATGCATGAATTTTTCATTTTAGTGATTTTCAATTCCTCAAATCCGTGACGAGTATTTTGCATGTGACCATTCTTGAATCTCAAGAAATATGTGTCTGCGTCCGCAGCCAATTCGGTTTACAAACCATCCAGCCATTTTGCGATTGTGCATGTCATATCGTGTTGCCGATATGCCACTCTTCAGCGGCCCCTTCGTCGAAGCTGGCAGTGAAGAGGCGAGCATCCCCTCTCAGAAAATCTCCGGTCCGCAAGACCGTTGAGGAAGATGATGGGAGATCAAGAACGAACAATCCGTACGATCCCATCTCCCGTCAATATGGAGCAGGCTGACTATGAGCGTGATTCCGAAACCGAGGAAGAGGAGAATCCACCAAGTCTACCTCCGCCAAGTCTACCTCTCGAGAAACGACCGAAATCAAAGGCTATGCCCACGCAGCCTTCAGTGCCTCCACTGAAGCTAACACTGAAGGTCAAGGCGCAGCCCAAGAACATAGGATGAGTACCAGCCTTGCTCATTCCAATTCCATGATTGATCCCAATCTTGGTCTGTCCAACCGGCATAGGTAGGCTCTGGCAGTCCAGCAACTTGTGGGGTGGCAGGATGCTCCTCCGACTTCTCTGCAATGGCTGCAACCGTTTTGGATTTTCCCTTGTCATGTCCGCCTTTTAACTTGCCATTGTCATAGGATGGATAACCTTTGTTTCCATCAAAGGATACTGGAATTTCGATTTCCTTTCTTTCCCTTCTTGCCCTCTTTTCCCCCAATATGCCTGGTCGTAGGGATCATAGTCTTCATTGGCCATATTGGCCTTCCCGCCAGAACCGCTTTTCTTGAAGGGTCGGTGACTGCCCTTTTTGTTTCCTGATTTTCATGTTCCTTTCTTCCTTTTGAATCTGAAATTTTCTCGCAATGAACGCATCGTTCTCCTCGGACCCAAAACGTCTCTTCATCATTATTTGACATGAATGCTTCTTGTCCTTCTTCATCCTCAACCCAAAAGCCCTCTTCTCCTTTGTGTTCACCTGTTGCTTCGGTTGCCTCCTTGAGGTTGGATGGATGGATCTTGGATTGAAGTTCTGGTCGTGATGAAAAGGTCGCGGTATTGCGTCTTCAGCATCTCATAGGTGTAATTCTTAAGTGTGATATTTTTCAGAGACATTGCACTTGTCAGCCTTTCTCTCTGCTGGTCTGACAGCTCGCTCTGTCTGGATGATGAAAAAAATGCGCTATGAGATTATCCCCGAAAAGAAATGCGTCCCGTTGTCTTTGCTGCATTGTCTGGATGAATTGTCTGAGGACTACTGGATTGTCCTCTTGGAGTGCAGCAGGAGGCGGGGCTCTGGCACCGGCAGCTTGCTGATGTCGCGCCAGGTTTCTCTGGTTTGCGTCACGCATTGATTGTCGAAATTCCGGAGACTGTGCCGTGTATACGGGCATCAGGTCCATCCAGGCTGCCTTCAATCTCATGCGAAGGATATTGAATTTTGATGTGAATATGAGGAACTCGCTGTTCTGCCTCCTGTGATTGAAGAAACTGAGGATAAAGATACACGTTTGTGGTACCCTTCAAAAAGTACTGCTTCAGCGTGTTCTTGAAATAGTTGACTCCTTCTTCAGGATCTTGCAAACGGTCGTTCAGGAGGACTGCCTTGTACATGTAAGCATCTCCAATGAGTCTGCTCTTGAGGAGAGGCCCTCGCTTGGATGCTTCGATCGCTGTGAAAGTTATCCAATCATCTACGAGTTTTTCACACCTGAACCAGCTGACTTCTCCGTCGCACGATGGCGGCTGCTTGGCGGTCATGATCTACCACAAGTTGAGTCCCACTGCCGGGGGTATCTTATCCCAGAAAGGAACGGATGCCTTGTGGTAGTAGAGGATCGTATATGTGGTCCCTGGATCTATTCCGCAGGAAGTCCCATATGTCAATATGGAGTGTAAGAGAATGGATAGTCCCTGGTGGCTCTGATTACTGTGTTTCACTGCAAGCGGCCTGCAATAAGTGCTTTTATGTAGCTATCACATGAATGGTGCAATTTGTACAAGAAAGGGCCTTGAGCCAAACGGTTGCATGGAGATCAAGGTTTAAATCAACCACAGGGGGGCCCACAGTAAACAAGGTCCAACATGATTTTTCTCGATGTGGTCCATTTGCTAGTCAAGGTTCCGAAAGGTTAAGCTTTTATGATCCTTTGACCAGCTGAGAAGTTCTAATCTCCTGTAGGACGACCTGTTTAAGGTCCCGTCAAATGTTCAGCTAAAGGGCGCCCGATGGAATTGCTATAGTTGAAGAATTGGCGAGTTGTACCTTGATTTGTGCCCGTTTGCAAGTTTTGCTTGGCCAGGTCTTGCGGTTGGAGGCGGGGGCCAAGTGACGCAGTTGAATGATTCGTTTGGCAAACGTTGCGCCTCCAGCCCCCCCGTTGATTCCTTAGCTACCTGGGCTTACGAAGCGCAAGTGCGATCGGCAAACATTGCGGTACATGATCGGTGATCGAGGCGCATCCTGGCAAGCAGTCCTTGTGTTCCCAGCCTTTGCTTGCGAGGTGCCCATGTTCCCAAACCTTTCCCCACCTTTCCGAGTGCTGTTCAGGCAGAATCTGCAGGGGCGCGGCGCTTGCTGCCACTTCTCGCAGACTCGCCCTCAGCACGGGCCTCAGGCAAAAAAAATATGTTGATGCCCATGTTTGTTAACGCAAATCGACGCATTGCAACATCAACTGAGATTTACATGTGCTAAACTGAACACATGTTTGTAGACGAAAAGAGGTGCTGATGATGAATGTGTCGACCATTCTAGTCTGCAGATATGTCGGACGTGCATGTCGACCAACTCAGTCTGCAGACATGTCGGGCATTTATGTTGACCAATGTTCTGCAGATGTGTCCCACATCTATGTTTGGTCAACGGAAGACACGTGTGTAGACTAAAGCGGCGGTAATGCTGAGGGTGTCGACCAAGACAGTCTAGAAACGAGTCCAGCATGTACATTTATCCCGCGGAAGATACGTTGTGTATTCCAAAAACGGTGGCGCTGCTAGTGTCGACCAAATTAGTCTACGAGCAGATGATAAGCTTAAGGGCGCAGGTGAGAGAGTAGAGAAGTTAGAGTCAGTCTAGAGACCAGGTAGAGGTTAGAGAAGTTGGGTAGCGGTAGTTTCAGACATCTACGTTTAGTCGACGAAGGGTGTCGACTAAGTCAGTCTACAGATGTTTTCGACATCTACGTTTAGTTAGCATGGCCGTGATGCTCCGCGTGTTGATTAATTTGGCCTACGAGCAGTACTGAAGTTAGACGTTAGAGATGAGAAGTTAGAGCAGCTGTTAGTTGGGTGCTTTCGCAAAGGGCTTTGCGGATTCTATCCGCCTTCTTAGAGGTCCTCCCAAGTTCTTCTTGACAGTGTTCGGGCCTTCCAAATTCCGCCATTTGGCAAACCGCTCGGCGTTCAGAATCCGCAGCTCTTCCCATAGTCTTCCTCTCTTGCAGCTTGCGAGAGGGTCGATGTTTTCTTCCTTAAGTCGACGAAGTACTTGCCTTTGTAAAAAAAATCGCATGAGAACAATTTCATTTGTCCACCAAGACTTTGGAGGCTTGTTTGGCAGCCTTCGTTTTGGTTTGGGAGACAATAATGAATGAAAATGCCAACCCGCTGCTTCTTCAACATCGTCAAAGGAAGTAATCAGAAGTGAGGCTTGGGTGCATGACACCGACAAAGCCAACCCACCACTTGCAAAGGAACTTTCTTTTGAGTTCAGCAAGAATGGTGTTTTGGGGTCGTTTCTTTTGCAGCTTGCAGACACAATTTGCTGAAGCTCTCAGGCTGCAAGCCGCTTGCGCCTCCGCGTGGAACTGGCAGGACCGCAATGTTTGTGCTGCGTCTGATTTGGGTATGTTTTGTCGAGGGTGCCCGTTTCGGGGTTGTTGGGGCTCCCTCTCGGAGGCACACGTCCAATTGCTGAAACATAGATCTCGCAGCGCAAAAGCACTGTTTGTTGGACACTGCTTGACAGTGCGACCAGCGCCGTGCTAGGATGCACGCGGAACGCGACATGAAAATGGCCGAAGGGGGCGAGAAGTACTCATCGTTCATGCTAGAAAATTATAATGACTCCTGTGTCAATATGTTGTTATTGATCGATGGTATATCCTTCGGGTTGGGTGTGTACAGGTGTTGCGCAAGGACAATGAATGATTATAATGCGTGTTTAGGCTTTGAGCAATGAATGGATATATAGAATGAATATACGCATGTGTAATTGAACTAGTAGGAGTATGATTGATTCAAATAAATGGACAATCAAAGTGTGTGGCCATATGTATGTGTGGGTATGCTGCTAGTGCTGCACCGCAAAGTATTGTGGGAGGGGCATGCCTCTGGAAAAATGCACCCGTGGTTTTTTTGGAACACGCAGGCATGCACTTATGTATTTGTACGTGTGTCTTTGTGTGTTGCTTGTTGTGCTACGCAGGCAACTTTGTATTGCTATGCTGTTTTGATCCTACGTTTGATTACTGCAATGATTGGAAGATGAAACAAATACTGATTCTACATAATGATCTGTTGATGTACTTTGGTGTTGCGTAAATACTGCGAGGAAGCTACCAAATGTCATTTGACTTAAGTAGCGAACCTCTTACCCGGATCGCCCATGAGTTAACTCGGACATGACGAGAGGTGCCATTGCTTTGGGAAAAACTGTTGGACTCAGACAATCTCAGACATGCCCCGTAGCTGTTCCAGGGAAGCCACTGACTTACCATTTGTCGCATGCACACCTGCAATGCAGGCTCGCTTCCAATGCCTGCTTGGAGAAATATGATTCAAATCTTTAATCACCGACATTTGCACCTAGGCCTTACAGCTTACATGATGAGGTATGCGAACATCATCTTGTATAGCTGTGAAGGCAGCATCGTTCTTGCTTAGAATCGAATCGACAGGTACAGCCAAGATAGAAGCCAAGCAGTCTTTGAGGAACACATCAATCACAGCATGGAATTGCATTGCGTTTTTGCAGGCGTTGCTGTTTGGCTCACAGCCAGCCTGCGGCGTTGGCCCCATGTTGCCAAGCAGAAGCCTCTCATTTCTCGCCCTGCCAGTTGCTCAGCTGTTGGGTCCCTCAATGGCCCTGTGCTCAGGAAAATTCCAGGTACCAGGGAGGCACCCTCAGCCTTTGATACGGGCCTTACAAGAACCCAGGAACTAAACAAGAGGCTCGTAAGCAGGGTACCTCTCTGGGGGGTACCTTGACATGCCCCAGTTTAACCTTTTCCTCCACTTTGCCCCGCGTGGGCCGCCAATGTCACCTTCCAGGACGGGGAAACCTGTCGTTACTGCCTGCCTGAAAGCGCAGTTCTGCGGAGCTTGCGCAGTTCCAACGCGATCTCTGAGTCCGAGATGTCTCTCCCAGTGGCAAAATCATGGTTTCGTTCGCTGTGTTTTTCCCCCGGGTCAGTTCCCCCGGTTGTAGGCTTGAAGCAGTGAACGGGATTCGAACAACAAAAATGAAAGACCAGTTGCGGGCTCTGCTGAGGTCTGGCCGCGTCAAGCGCAAACTCCTGGAACAAGTGCTGGGCTTACTCATATGGGCGACCAGTCTGAGCCTGGAACTAAGAGCATGGCTTGCTCCCCTTTACTCCGACCGCCCTTTGGATGCATGATCTCAGTGCGTCCACGTCTGTTGCCCGCTTTTCGATCTGTGCTCAGCCCCAAAGCTGTGCTCATTTTGACAGTGCAAGGCATCTTCATGCCAGTAGGCTCCAAAGTTCCAGAGTTTCAAGGGGCCCAAATCCGCAGCTCGTCAGACTTGCCTCAAGCCATCCAGAGCCACAAAGCTGTCTGGGTGCGCATAGCAGCTCCTTCCGCAGAGCACACTCGCATCTCCAAGACCAGCAAAGCCAGCTTGGAATGGTTGCTGCACTGTTTCCACATGGATCTCGCATGTCCGCTTCGAGGCAAACCGATACTTGCATGCAAAGCGGCTGCAGACGCCTGCGCCGAAGGAAACACCGTGCGTGCGGAGGCGGGCTGAGTGCCGCGAGTGCGGCAGCACGTCGGTCTGCGAGCATGGGCGGCGGCGGCACCGGTGCCGCGACTGCGGCGGCTCGTCCGTCTGCGGACACGGGCGGAGGCGGGCTGAGTGCCGCGAGTGCGGCGGCACGTCGGTCTGCGAGCATGGGCGACTGCGACGTCAGTGCCGCGACTGCGGCGGGTCGTCCTTCTGCGGACACGGGCGGAGGCGGGCTGAGCGCCGCGGCTGCACCAGTTTTGTATGTCAAATTGAGGGCTGTTCTCGGCAAGATCTCCCACTCGCCGGAGCGCCGAGCTTGCTGCGACACATGCAAACGATGCACGGCGACAACCCGCGCGCAGTGACCAAGAGTAAGGAGCTTGAGGTGCACCAAGCACTCCGCGACGCGCAGATCGTCTTCGAGTACCAGCACTACCTGCCCTTCCGCGGCTGCGGGTTGGAGTCGGAGACGGCGCACGCCTTCACGGACTTTGCCCTGCCAACCCCGTGGGGCTACGTCCTGCTGGAGGTTGACGAGGAGCAGCACAAGGCCTACGACCCCAGCTGCGACGTGCGCCGGGACTTCGACACGGCCGCCAGCGTGGCGCTCGGCAGCGGTCACAAGCTGCTGGTACTGCGCTACAACCCGGACGCCTTCAAGATTGCCGGCATGACGCGGCGGACCAGCAAGAAGGAGCGCCACGCGCAGCTGATTCGCCTGCTGGGCGAGCTGCTGGCGCGCGAGCCGGAGGCACCGTTCACTCGCCTCTTTCTCTTCTACGATCGGGCCGCGGAGAACAGCACGCTGCCCTGCGTGGCGGAGCACTGGTCCGAGCCCGTGCGCGCCGCGTCCCGCTGCGCCTAGAGTCCCCAAATTCGAAGACGGGAAGCCGGCGGCGAGACTGGGAGAGATGCTGGATTTACAGCATCGCTCCCAGAGTTTTCAGGGAAACGTCTAAAACTAAAGGCCGACCGCATGCATCTGAAATACATGGGAAGCAAGTCGTGGCTGGCTCCGCACCTGGACCGGCTGCTGGGCGACGTCAGGTGCTGCACTCACCCTTCTTCGGTTCCGGAAAGCTGGAGTACTACCTTGCCCGGCGGCGCCCGGGCCTGGAGGTGCGCCGACACGTTCGAGCCCGTCGTGAACCTGCACCGCTGCTACTTGAGGCGAGACCCGGTCTCCCTGGCGCGCCTGGTGGGGCGCGACGTGGCTACTTCAGGCGCCTCCTGCCGGGCGCGCTGAGAGGCCCTGCCGGGCGCAGGGCGGCCTGCGCGCACGCCCTGCTGCGCAACAGCTTCTCGGGAAAGCGGGGCTCCTTCGCAAGGCAGCAGCAGCCAATGCCCCCGAGCTGCGTGCGTCGGCTGCAGCAGCCACCGTCCAACGTGACCGTGCGGCAGCAGGACGCGCTGGCCTACCTACGAGCGCTGCCCCGCCCAGCACCCCAGCAATGCATCTACGCCGACCCTCCCTACATCTTTCCCGGCCGCACCATGAATTACTATGGCACGAAAACAGGCCACGACCTGGCCTTCCACTCGGAACTGCGAGACGCAGTCTTTGCGAGCGGCCTGCCCTTCGTCGTGAGCGTCAACGACGTGCCGGAGGCCCGAGAGCTCTACAGCGGGGCCGACTCCATCACGAGCCGGCAAGAACGGTTCCAAGCCCGAGCTGCTGGTGCTGCACCGGGGCAATCCTGTTGCCAGCGCAGGATTGACGGGGGCAATCCTGTTGCCAGCGCAGAGCGCAGGATTGACGGGGGCAATCCTGTGCCCAGCGCAGGATTGACGGGGGCAACCCTGTGCCCAGCGCAGGATTGACGGCAGGGCAATGAAGGTGAAAAAACACTCTGTCAGTGATGCGGCGAGAACCGCATAGCTGACAGAGAAAAAAAGCTCACATTTGACACACGTTTTGGGCAAAATCGGAAGCTTGGAGCGAAGTCGGAATTCCGACCTCGGTGGGAGAGCGGGAAGAATTCCGACCTCGGGTGGCGCGGGCTCGGCAGGCTGGAGGCTTCGATGCCAGGCAGGAACGTGGCGAGTGGCACACTCCCGGAGTGCCAAGCCGTGACCATATGACCGTATGATCCGTATGATCCGTATGACTCGGCAGGCTGGCGTCAAGGCTTCGATGCCAGGCAAGAACGTGGCGCGGCTTGGCAGGCTGGCGTGGAGGCTTCGATGCCAGGCAGGAACGTGGCGCGGCTCGGCAGGCTGGCGTGGAGGCTTCGACGCCAGGCAGGAACGTGGCGCGGCTCGGCAGGCTGGCGTCGAGGCTTCATTGTTGAGGCAATATTGAAGCAATATTGAATCGATATTGAATCGATATTGAATCAATATTGAGTCAATATTGGGTCAACAATGGATCAACATTGACAAGGCCAAGCTCTCTCTTTAGAGGGAGTTTCCCAAACGGATTCTATTCCACCTGGTAGGCTCCTGACACTCGTCCGTCCAGGAAACGACCTCGTCCTGCGAAGGATTCGACATCTAAAATGCTGCGTGCAGGCGTGTGGCTGCAACATAACGACCCCTAGATATGCGCCGCAATTTGCCTCCAGGTTGCATTTCAAGCAAGGTCAAGCTTTGCCAAAGGAAGCCCCTTTTCCCTTTTTTTCGGGACCCCTTTTTTGGGGACCCTTTTTTTTTCTCTTTTTTTTCTTTTTTCTTAGCCCTGCAAAGGTTGGCTTGCTTGAAATGCAACCTGGAGGCAAATTGCGGCGCATATCTGGGGGTCGTTATGTTGCAGCCACACGCCTGCACGCAGCATTTTAGATGTCGAATCCTTCGCAGGACGAGGTCGTTTCCTGGACGGACGAGTGTCAGGAGCCTACCAGGTGGAATAGAATCCGTTTGGGAAACTCCCTCTAAAGAGAGAGCATTGGTTGGGTTACCTCCCTTCACACGGTTTGCGAGAGGTATGAGGCAGGTGTCAGGGCCCTGAGGACTCAAATCAGGAACGTGCAGACAGGCGGGGGTTCGGTCGGAGGTGCTGAGCATGTCCAATCCCTCGTTAGACGGGAGCTCATCTACTACCGA